CCAAAACCCCAAAACCCCAAAACCCCAAAACCCCAAAACCCCAAAACCCCGTGACATCATATTCTTAGTGATATTGAAAGTAGATTAAAGAATATATAATCTGAAATAAAGCGAGTTAAGAATTGCTATTAAAATAAATGGATTATTCTAAATCCTAAAAGCATAATAATTCTGTGAGAATTGCTTCCCATCATTTTACATATAATCTCAATAAACTACCTCTTGCATTCAACATAACATGGTCAGAAACCGTCAATCGCAAGTATACAGTATAGCTCCCCATTATTCCTAATCATTAAATTAGAGATACTGGATTGAAGTTCAGACGTCATACTAAAGATGGGATGTCCATCATCGATATAGAGAATTTAGAAATTTATATAAACTTGTAATCTAACATTTCCAAATAACATGAATTAATTAGTTGATGCAAAGTGAACTTTCAGGTTCAATAAAGGACATAAAGTTTCCAAAGAAAACTCTTTTCAAGATGAGAAACCAGGTTATCAAGCAACGTGAAGAGGCCCTTCAGTGTAAGTCTCTCGATAAATAATATTATTTTTGGAAGAAATTAAATTCGGATCCTTTCAAATTTAAACAACTTTTACTTTAGAATTTATGAATGCATTGTGCAATAGCGAGCCAAAATACAATCTCTTTATCATTCAAAATGACTAGTTTTGTGAATTCATCAAAATCGATGAAGACATAAGAAATCTACTGATTGAGTAATATATTAGTACCGAGAAGACCCTATCAGGGTTGAGATTACGCGGAACTTTCGTCAGCAGGTCAAGGTCGAATTTAAACTCTTTAGTCTAACCGAGTTCACCAGCAATTCAACATCAATCAATCAGATAATCCTTCTAAGTGACCAAAGAGTCTAATTTTGAGTAAACTGTATTTGATTTCCTGTTCTTGCTTAACCAAAATAATGAAGAGAAAGAAAACATTGTGAAGTAAGCCTAATAAAATATTTGAACCATGTTTACATAGGGAGTTTGATGAGTTTTTCTTTAAAAATTCTCCCGTATTTTAAGAAGAACTTATCTTATGACTATTTTTGGGTGACTCATATAGACAGAGAGGAATACTTCACTTCATCGGTAATATTGAAACTCATCCAATTATGTCCAAAGCATGCCTCTGCTTGGTGAATAAGTTGCTCAACTATCAGCAAAATAAACATGCTGAAAAGTATAATAAAATATTTGCCAGAACTGAAACTGGCCTAATTAGAGCAATGAAGTTAGAAATTCACATGAAAGAGAGAAATAAATTAGTAACAAACTAGCAGGTTATGCTAATTTTAGATTCTTACTTAAAATCTAACCCTAGGGTAAAGGATATTAGGTTATTACTAGGAGATCAGGAGGCTTGCGATTTGTTTAGCAAATGGTATACTGTTAGGAAAAACTATAAGGATATGAATCTATGTGAACCAAAAAATATTAAGAGATCTAAATAAAGCTTCAGAAAGTCAAAATCCTCTTATGTTTCAGGGATCTCAGATGAGGATACCACTCATCAAGGCACTTTAAATCATAAGAGAATCTAAGGGACTGTTGGCACTATGGGTGTGTGTGAGGAGGATCCACTTGAGAATTTCTCTGACTAATTTACATAGTTAGAGGATAGAGAGTCAATTGGTAAAAGACAAAATGATAAACTCAAAGAAATCAAAAGATCTATGTCAAAGGATAACAATCAGGAGTGGATTTTTAGTCATATTATTGATAATGACATTAAGGTTTTCACCAATGAAAGGCAATAAGAATTATTAGAGTTCCAAACTCAAATAGAATATGATAATATGTCCTTAGATCTTTAGCAAATCAGTTTCATTGTGTAGATCTTAGAATCTGAATAACTGAAATTCATCCCCGAAGGCGACTCTGACAACTGCGAAGAAAATACAATCTACTATATTCACTTTAATGATGAACCTTTGATGAGGGTTAATATCCAGATCAAAGACTAACTTCAGTCAATTTTTGTTCAAATTTCCCAGATTGACAAAAATAATTAAAGTAAAATATTTCTCTTGAAACATTTTTTAGTATTAAGCGATTACATTATCATCCTATTTAGTCACTCAGAACAGTCAAGTCATGATAATTTGACATGTATCCAAGAAAGATACTAGCTCGTGAGTCAAATGCATGTAGTCGACGAGGAAATTGAGCAAGAAGATGAGGAAGAAAAGCATCCATAGGTTTCAGAGAGTAAACACTGCTAAAACCATCAAAATAGTAGTAGCAAAAGCCATCAGCTTTCTGAGCCCATGATGCAATCAAGCGACTCAAGAGATCAAATAAACTTGCCATATTCCTCCAGTGGAGGATGTGCAAACAGCTCTTAATAGAAATTAGTGAATGTCAGAATGATTGTTGAAATCAGCGATGAAAACATCAAGTAGCAAGTAAGCCAAAATGTATGCAGACTGAGAGGACCCTAGTTCTTTCACTGAATCATCATCCATCAAACAATTAACTATAATCATAAATTATATAAATGGGTTAATTTCGCTTAAATTTTGTGATTATTAAAATATTTTAATGGGTTCTGTCCAAACTAAATCATTCTCGTTTTTTCACTTCCAACCTGAGAGAAAAAGGCAGCTAAAGTATGCAATAGGAATGATGTTCCTAGGGATCGGAGTATTTCTACTCTATAGAAAGTACTTTTAGTTGTCAAGCAACTCACGAACCAGACTATTCTTTGATAAGTTGAGAGGTGATCAAAACAGTTTGGAATAGAGATGCTCCAACTTAAAGAAAAAAATCTATAAGATGTATCCAAACAATAAATCTCTCATCTACATTCAAACTAACGACTCAATACTGAAGCAAATTGATATTCCTTTCGTAATGTAGACAGTTGTCTCATAAGTTAAACTTCCTCCATAACAATAAATAATGAACTCGACTGATTCAAGCGGCTAAGGAAATCATACAAGTTAAATTGCCTCTGAGAAGTTAAGCAATTCCTCAACTTACTTTAGAAAATCTGATGTATTCCTGGAGCCGTTTGAATCTGGAATATGCATTGATGATAGCTTAACCAAAACTCATCGGTTAATTTTCAATAAATTCCCTAGTAGACCTTATCATGTATTGGTCATAACCAAGGAAAAAGAAAAATAAGGAGATGTTATAAATATTAGAGACTTTGAAGCCTCTCTTATTCCTATGAAAGCGCTTGAAGGAATAGTGTTTTATAACTCAGGTATAAAAGCAGGTGCATCATAATCTCATAAGCATCTCTAGGTCTTACCAATAAAATCTCTGCCTAACAAAAAGATACCGATTCATCAAAGAGTGCTTGAGGAGATCAAAAGACATAAAAGTAATGCTAAAAGATAGGATAAAAATGATGATAGCTAGCTATTCCAGTCTTTTGACGAAAATCTTTTTATTCTCTCAGAGTATTAGCAAATGAGACATACATTTTGCTGGCTCGAAACCTCGTATTTTTAAAATATTATAAGCGATAAAGATCTGAAAAAGTCTGCGCAGTATTATAGAGATGCTTATTAAGCTTGCTTGAAAAAAATCGGGAATGCAGACGGCTAATTACCTTATAATTTTGTTGTTACCCCAGAATGGATGTTTATGGTTATTAGGCAAAAACCTCATCATGAAAATATACCCTGTAATTCACTTGGCTATTTAGGACTCATGTATGCTAAAAATGAAGAACAACGTGATAAAATAGTGGAAATAAAGCCGATAGAAATGCTTAAAGAACTTGCTGCTCCTATGGACTTTAAATAGTGAACAAAATTATATTAATATTTACTTGAGGCTAATAAATACTCGAATTTTCATAACGGGGTTTTGGGGTTTTGGGGTTTTGGGG